TTAGGGTTTCATACACGTGTCTTGTCGATTTCGAAAACTCAATACTTACTTGCGAATGTCTCCAACATTAAACCAATAAGGCTCCAACATGTTTCTAACATTAAAAACTTTCCGTACTTAGAAAGAACTAGTCGAAAACTTTGCTACGAACCTTCGTATCTAAAGCTAGTTGGACTTTTACAAGTGCGCAATTATTTGTCCACAATATTACCATCTCAAACAAAAAGAAGAAGAAGACCAAATATAAGATTCATAAGTTCAACGATACATAACAACAAAGAGTAGAAGAAGGGAAAAAAAAAAAAAAAGATCACAAAGCTACATTCTTACCACGTCATTGTACGAGTTTAAAACCAAAGGATGGTAAAAAAGTGCATTCAACACACCAAACGATTAACTTATTAGTGTTCTAAAGGTAGAGAGAGACGCTCAATTTATTCAAAGCTTACTTGTAGCAGCAAACCAAAGCAAAGAGATATCATTACTAAAACATACCCAGTGAGATTAGGTTGTAAGGATTGGAGGCAAGTAGTCTGATTTGGTACCGAGGATACGGGCCTTTGTGTCCGGGAAGAATTCGAATCCAGGAAGCTCAGTGATGTCTCCTTCGCTGGCTACACCAATCGGGTAGCGGAGCAAGTGACCGGGAAGGTCATGTTCGAGTGACTCACTTGAGTAAAAGTCCCAATACTTATCAGAGATGCGGTTAACTTTCTCAATGCATTCCAAGCTTGAGGGATCGAGGAAGGTCTCGTCGAGCATTCCCAGGTGTTCATACCAGAGTGACATACGGAACCCATGGATCTGACCACGAGCTGGTTGTCTGTGGGACAAGTGATGTGGTTGGTAACCTCCCATTGCAATCTCAGAGTCTCTTGCACCATCCATAGACCTCTGGTTGATGTTAGCAGATCCGATGATAATATATTCATCGTCAACTGCAAAGGGTAAATCAAGTGAGTCACACAGATGCATTAATGCAAAATTTTCTAAAGTTTTTTCTTTAAGGATCGAAATGTGTACTTACCGATCATCATTTTGGTGTGGACGTAAATCATGAAGCGGCGTGCTTCTTGCGCCCTCATATAGTCTGTGTCAGGGTCTGGTTTTTCTGCAGGCTCATACTCTCCATCTTTCTTGACCTCACGGTTTCCGAGGCAGAAGAACGTCAGATAGTTTCTAGGATCTTCCTCAAGTCCCTGGGCTCTGAGTGCCTGAATAACATCCTTGTACATCATCTCCATAGTCCTCCTCTGCCAATCTAATATAGCTTGCACTGATCCACTCTCTGGGAGACCTTCTGGCCACATTGGAACCACAACATAAACCCTGAACTTCTCTCCTTTCTCGATCTTGCTAACGATCTTTAGGGATAACTCTTTCGGGATTAAGTGCAGAGCATTGATGTCCTCAGGAGTAATACCATCAGCGGCCCAAGCGAAAGAACTCCCAAGGAAGTACTGGTTTTCAATGTAGATGAAATCTTTGGCCCGCCTAATAGCGTGAATGTAAGCATCTTGGATACTCCTATCAATGATATTATCCTTTCCACTTACAAGACCGGCTTCCGCAGCAGCTTCAGGTGACTCGGGAAACCCAGCAGCAGCTCCACCGTCAATGGATCTAAACAATTGGACATTCCAAACGTCGTGGTCCTCTTGGAACATAACAGGAGAAGGGGTGATAATAATATCACCGAGATCTCTCAACTTAACCAGAATGTCTTTACCACCCTGCTTGCTCCATCTCTGCTCGAAATTATACAAGACATCCCAAGCAATGGGACCTTCGAGACGAGAGTGGATGTCGTGCCATGGCTCCCTTGGACCACCTTTGGTGATAGCAGCACCGGTGAAGTTAGGTTGATGGAAGTCATCATGGTGGACTGTGTCCAATGTCCTGAACAAGGAGTGAAACGGAGTGTCGTATCTTCCATCACAGAGATCAATACCACCAACAAAACTCATAATTCTCCTCATTTCTGAGCCTCCTCGGCTTGGCATCTCGGTGTCCACAACAACGATTTTCTGGTGGTGAGTGAACATAGTAGAAACCTGCAAGCTCTGGACTATGCTACCACCGTCATCAGGGTTACGAGGGCACAAAATACAATGGACTTCACTTCCCCTGAAATAGTTCTCGGTTTCCTCATCATGAGTAGCCATGAGCCCATCTTTCTTGAGCACATCAACAGAGGTTCTGTCATCCCAAACAAGTAAAAGAACCCTGACGCCTTCACTAGCCTTCTTCTTGAGTAGCTCACCAACTGTCACATCTCCTCCTGGCTTAGGCCTCCTCGAGTCCCTCACTAAAGCAATCTCGGTGTAAACAGACCACCCGGTGATGTAGATCAAGTGCTTTGCATTGCTTATGGCATCGAAAATATCCTCCCAACATCTCTGAGGCTCATAGTTCTTCCCTCCAGCGAGAGGGATTCTTGGAACAAAGTTGTCTGGAATATGAGCATCTTGGTACAGAGAAACTTTGCAGCCTTGTCTCTGCGAGAAGAATGTGTACGGTACTCCAGGGAATTTAGCACTTTTGATACCCTTGTTCCAGTTACGATCCTCCTCAACATGAAAGTATTGGAGTTTGACATGTATCTTCGATCCACCTTCAATGGGGTTCTTGTCATTATCCAAGATCTCAACCCACCGATCCACTTCCTCGCCATTAATGACTTCGTCAACAGGAACATACGCTCTTCCGATAAGGGTAGCACCAATGGGGTTATCATCTTTCACAGTGAAAATGATATCAGAAGCCAAATGACCACAGTAGATATGAAAAGATTCATACCACTTTGGGTTCTTTGGTTCATTTTTAATCTTCCTTGTTCTCCCAACTCTAGCTTTTTGCAGATCAATCGTCGCATACAGCTGTGTCTCTCCTTTGCCAACACCGATCGTCTCTTCTACGTTTGCCAGAATCTGAAAGTTTTAGATAAGAAAATAAAGATCAGGAAAAAACAAGAAGCACATTTCATAACATATTGGTCTAAAAACACATGATAGTATCCTTAAAAATGACCTCCAAAAGCTTTATAACTTGTAGAATCACAAAAGAAAAAGAGAATAAATGTGACTAAGAGACGATCAAAGAAAGCTCTATATAAATATATATACCTTCCCGAGGAAGCCTTGCCTGACTCCACCACCGTGGAGTGCATCAACTTCATAGATTGTAGCGTGCAAAGTACCGTGCAACAGATGCTGCGCCATTTTATCAACCTGTAACAAATAATCAATTGTACAACAACACAAATTGATTAGTACTAAAAGTTTTGTTTTTTTTACAAACAAAAACAAAGGCCAGATCCAGAGAATAGTACGTCGTAACTTCAAGATCTGAGATCAAAAAGACATCAAAATTCTCAAAAGTGCTTTACAAAACCCAACGAAGAGAAGAAACCTAACTACTATTCAAATAGTGAAATTACAGTCACTGATCTCGCTCAAAACAACATCGGACTAAGGATCATAAAACCACAAAATCATAGAAATGATTGAAGCATGATCGATCTCTGTTTACCAAAACATTATATAACGAATCCTA